TAGCAGAAGCTGTTTGCCTTGGTCCTCTCTCCGCCTCACAGCTGTTAAAAGCACAGCAGTTCTCTGTGAGTTGGCAAGCATAGTTGGGAGCAGCTGCAGAACTGACTGAGCAATATTGACCCATGGAAAGAGGTTACAGCTTCATGGAAGCATTTGAACCCTTTCGCCTCTGAACATTTAGCTAATGCCTAATATGACAGTTTCCTCAGAGTCATGTTTGTTTGAACACCAGCAAGCAGTGACAGTGATCAACTAGGCACAAAACTATGATGAAAGCTCACGTTTATAGGAACCAAGGGACATAATACTTCGCGGTTTGAACAAAACCTAGGAAGCCTGCATTTCCCTCTCCCGTTTTATTTTGGTGCTAATTGGCTTCATCCTAATTCAGAGTTTAAGCCCTCATTCCCAGAGATGGGGTGTAATTCTATTCCAAAGTGCTGGTTCGCGTTACTAATCAGAATTCACATGTGTAAGGATGGCATGGTGCTCTCAGTGTAAGGTAGAAGAGGGGTTCTGGACTGCTATCCTCTGAATCTTTAGCAATAATGTATATTATTTCTATTATTACTACTTGTAAAGTCTTCTAGAAAAACTGCAGTTAATGCTTTAAACAGTGTACAATTCTTCACATGGTAGAAGATGCATACTATACACACAAAAATAGACTATAAAGTTAACATTGCTTCACTTGTTAACTACTTGGGTTACATATAAGATAGCTTTATTGTATGATTTCTGATGTCCGTATGGCATTTTGCTCGGTAATGATATTAGACTGTTGTGTAAATGAAGATAAACTACACTGACTTAAGAAAGAAATTAGATACTTTAAATTGTCAATTAAAATGCTGTAACCTTCCATACAAAAGACTAGCTTTCAAGGCTTCCTTGAAAGTCAAACAGCTGTGTGCATAGCTTCGTTTTCTGCATGTAATACTCTTTTACAGGTGGCAAAAACCAGTGGCAAGTCCATGGGCAGCAAAATCAACTCTCTTCTTCCTAGTCTACGGCATATCATTTCCTCCAAATCTTATCTCCTGGCAAAATATTTCCCTGCAATCTGTAGTGTTTGCTGAGTACACTGTACATCTATCTAATTGCCATTCTGTTAATGTCATCCTTAGCAAAAGGAAAGGAAGCAAAAGGCTGGAGCATGTATGTCGTAGTGTGACAATAGTAATAATGCACAATTATAGCCCCAGTCAAGACAGATGCAAGTGGACTGGCTGCTTTAAATCCTCTCCCCCCCCCCCCCAACTCCCATTTTTGTGCCAAATCCCCTCACTGTTTTCAATTTTGGAAGTTCAGTTAGTAATTTACTGGCTTTGGCAGGGAGGGCAAAGTTTCTGTGAGTGAACACTCAAAAAAAGGCCACATGCATCCATGCCCTTCTGGATAACTGCTTATGAAATTTAATACTGGCTATACTATTCTTTTTTTCTTTTCTTTTTTGAGAAAATAGACAAATTACTTCTTCATCGTTCTCTCTTATTAACAGCTGTCAGTGGCAGCACTGGAAAAACAAAATCCAGAAGAAATATTTAAAAGTACTTTTCATTTCTGAACTCTCTTTAAAAAAACAACTCATTAGTGCCACAATAAAATATATTTATGCAGGGAGTGGGCACACACAAGTGGAGACAGATACATTGTTCGTTAGCACATTAAACCCATTTTTATTTGTGAGTCCTTGGCAAACTGTTCCGTGATAACATATTTGTAAAGAAAGAGCAACCTTCAGCAACAGTTATTTCTTCAGTTGCAGACAGCACCAAAGTGAGACTCTATAAAATGGGACTCCGCATCATCTATTGTTAGCAACTGCATATTTTTCTTTCCCTTCCTCCAAGAAGGTCTAAGCGATTTGGAAATATCTATAATAAGTAATTTAAAAGAACACATAGCATTATCTCATTCAGTCCACATAACAACTTTATGAGGCATAGGTGCCAACTCTCCGGGGCCTTGGGTGCCTGAGCACCCACAAAATTCCCCATAAAGGGGCTGGGAACCCACAAATTCTGGTGCCAGGGCCACATGCACATTGCATGGCACCCATGGTCAAGGGGCTAAGTTGGCACTCCTGTTATGAGGTAAGTTAAAGGATTGTGAGTTGCCCAAGACCTGCTCCTAAGCTTCATAGTTCAAACCTAAGTCTATACCACATGGAATGCATGTCAGAGTGAATTCACTGAATATATTAGCAATGGGACTCCTGTATGGGATGCTTCAGAACTGCATATTTTGTCTACATATCATTTATTTTGGTGGTGGCAGCAGGTACTGGCCTGGTTCAAAAGTCATGCTATTCCCCTCCCTCTCTTCCCTTTGTCCTCCAGCACAGCTGCAAGGAAGAATCAGAAGCTTTGCTTCTGCATTAAATTTCTACACACCAGCACCAAGATACAGTAATTTAATCCATTTCTGTTCAGTTGAAGACATACTTCAGATCAGGAGTGGGGAGCCTTTGGCTCTCCAGATGTTGCTGAACTACAGCTCCCACCATCCCTAGCCACTGGCAGTGCTTACTAGGGCTGATGGGAGTTGTAGTTCTACAAAGATCCTGTAACTCCTGCTTTAGATACTCATTTAAAATGCTTATCGGCATCACCTTTTGTAGCATTGGGAATTGTGGGAAATAACAGCTTTAAAGCCCTGAAAGGAATTCGGTAATTCCTTTTTAATAGAAATGCTCTATTTACAGTGCCTAAGTACCAATTAAAATCACCAAATCACTACTAGCAATCAGAATAGTAGTGATTTGGGGTTTTTAATCAGCACAGTATTTTTAAAAATTGAAGATTATCAACATGGCTTCTTTATATAAGAGGACATTGATATGCTTTCAAAAGCACCAATCTGTGTAGTATGTGAAATAAAGACAATTTTGTTTTACGCTTTAAATTGCTCTTATTTTGAATGGAAATATAAAGAATAGCCAGCATTCAATATTTTAACTACATGTTTTCAGTTTTTGATAATTTTCTAATTTTTCAACTTGATACCTTTAAAAAGCGAAGGTTTGCACTATATGGTACTAAAACCCTTCCATAATTTGATTTCAAACGGCTAGTTTTCATTTTCTAGGTGGGTTTGATTTCCAAAGATATATACAGCAAAGTGATTGATCAGTATCAGGATACAATAACTGAACATTTATTCACTATTGCCTCCTAAGCAATGTGTTTTTGCATGCTGAATAAACTGCATTCACATATAGTGTTCATTTGGCAAAGCAGACAGTTGAATTGGAAAGCGTTCCTAAGAAGTCAGTAGTTGACCTTGATTTTATTGTTACATTTTAGGTGGGGTGTGAAGCGCACATTTCTGCCAAGTTGAAATTATAATTGAAATCAGTGTAATCAGTAGGCAGAATCTAATCAAAATTAAATGGTAGAGTTAAGCAGAATGGACAGGCTTAAATCTCTTCCACTTAAAGAGATGGAACTTGAAAGTATTTCACTTCTGCTATATCATGCTGTGTTTATCTCAATAGAATGTTGTGCCACAGAACTGAAAAACAACACTGTCAACGTTTTCAGCCTACTTCTAAATTGGCATTTTGAATATATATTGCTGCAACTATAAATATAGTTTGGCTCTGCCTCTTGTTTATTTCAATGTTTTGCTGTAAAAAAAATGTGCAGTAATAGTAGTTTAAACCCACTGGTGCCCAAGTTGCTCAAGTTTTAAGACAAATTACTGCTACTCATTGCACAGGCAGAAGCTGAACTACAGTGAACAATGTAATTCACTGCTCAATATACAGTAAGATTTTGCTAACTTGCTTGTATGCCTTGCAAAAACTAGGGCATGCTTCTACAGCCCCGGTCAGCAGTTTCCCTACAGGCCACTTAACAGTGGGGAAGGAAGCAACGGCTATCAAGTTTTGTTGTCACAGATGCCACTTTCTGCATACCCCTTTCACCTCTACATTGACAACTGCAATATCTGTCAGCGGCCTGGATTTGGCCCAGGTGCCTCCACTTGCTGCCCCCTGTTTTACAGTGTGCTGAGCACCTACAGTAACTCTGTATCAGAATGAGTCCTAGTAAATCAAGTGCCCTTGACTTCAAGTGAGAGCACAGGACAATCCCCCCAAAAAGCAGTTGGACTGCGTATCTTCTACTTTTTAAGTGAGATTCTAAGCAAAGATAAACATAATACAACTTGTGTTTTATATTCAGTAAAACTCTTATTCAGGAAGTATATCTAGAAGCTGTATGAATGTGCAAATGAAGGGGTTGACAGACTCATAATTACCAAGGTAGTGTCCGGTATTACAAACTGCACATAGAAGTCTCCTTTTCATGCAAGTAATCTCATTCAGTAACTAATAAGTAAAAGGGCTTTGAGAATTATGCCTCTTTCATGAAGAATTTTGTGGAATGTATTTTACATGCTTTATCATGAAAAACTCTTCTGAGCTTCAATAAAATGTACGGTATAGCTTAAAGTTGGAAGGGAATATTTATGCGACATGTTTAGTTGTCATTGATTACAACTTTATGTAAAATTTCTAACACGTACAAGCCAGAACAACTGCTATATTTAGTTGTACTATGGGGGAACAACTATTTTTAAAATGAAGGCATTAATACAGTATTATGAATTATTGAATAAAAATATAGACTTGTACTGATCTGTTTTGTAAATTTTACAACAGGCACTGCACAGTTTGGCAGTGTTCCCATTGTTTTGTGCTTTGATTTGTAGTAAGACTTGATATTTGAACCATTTTAGAATAAACTGCTTCTTGTACAGATTGTTTTTACTATGTTGTGAATTATATACCTGCAACATTCCTAACCAGAGCTATAAAACAATCAAAAGCATTTGAATTCAAATTAGCTTCATTATTTTTTGAAATTAATAAGTTGTTCCATTAATCAGACCAATAGTTTTAAAAACAGTTACTTGAAAATAGTCCCATTACAAAAACAAAACCAAACTGGAATTATTCCAATTCATTTTCTTACTAATAGTCTCACCTTACTCTTACTTTCAAATACATGTTTGGAATGCCCACTGCCATAATCCAAAACAGATTTACATTGGATTGTATAAAGAACACACACACACACACATATATATATGAATGAACTGGAAAGCTTTGCTAAGAAAATATATTTGACAAGGTCAGATAAACATTTGATGAGCGGACAAACATTAATATTCTCTGAAACTTTCGGCTCAACATGTTAAGAGCCTTCCATGTTAACTCCAGCTCCAAAATGCCAGAAAATTAACTGGAGGATGAAGCGCTGCAAGGACAAGGGCACCTGCTTCTTGGACACAGCAATTCAACGGGTGGAGCGCTTCCCGGCACGCCAATGCTGGTGAGAGGAAAGCATCGCCCATTGAATCGCGCCGGGTTGGGAACCCCACCTACTAAACTGCTTCATTGCGAGGCTCTTAAGCGGCTTCTGACGCTGCCCTCGCGAGAGCCGCAGACTCTACTCTTTGGGTTTCGCCACCTGCAGCCCAGCCGAGGAAGTTCCACCGCGCGCCCACCAGGGGGCATTGCAGAATCCCGGCTGCTCAGGCCAGACGCGGGAGCGGATTTCTCGCTTCCGTTCGTGCACGGAGCGGGCCGGTGAATTCTCGGTTATCATGGACCCCCCCCCCCAAGCTGCGCCCTTTAGATAACAGGCTGCATTGGCTTGGGGGGGGTCGAGGGGGGAACGCAAAAAGATAACATTTCACACAAGAGAATAAAAAACGGAAAGTGCCTCAGCTTCCTCTCTTTGCCGGGGCGGAGAAACCGCTGCCCAGCCCTATCCCCCCCCCCACTGTCTCCTATAGGCAGCTCTCACTTCCGCCTCCCCTAGCAGGGGAAGAGCCTCACAAGGAACCCGGAAAGCCTTCCTCCAGGAAAACCAGCTTGCCCCTAAGTGACATCTTCATCCTATCTCTACGGTTCCTTTTCCCCACACTCCTGGGCAGCCATGGGCGCGGAGCCACGCAGCCGCCAGGAGACTCTGGCTTTGCGGAAGCAGCTCATCGGGTAAGTGGTGATTCTGCTGAGAGGGGAGGGTGTCCTTCCAGAGACGAGAGGGTATTTCCTCCCCCCGCTTCCTTCCAGGTGTGCCCCTCTTGAGGTTGCCCACGTGACTCTGAGCCCGGCGTCGGTGCCCCAGGAAAACCGGTCCCATCCGAAACTTTCAGCGTCCGGGACGTGTTCCGGCTCCTGGCGCGTTTGGGTCAGATACCTTTAACCTGCTTGCCTCGCTCGGTTAATAGCTGCTACGTGGCAGGCGCGCTAGAGAGACCCGCAATATGCCCCGCTCGCTCCAGTCGCAAATCCCGCTCCGCCCCTTCCCATGGCATAGGATCCGGCTGCCTCGTGTGGGTTAGCAGCGTGTATTTCTCATTCTCGCGGATTACCACAGAAAGGCACGCGGCCTAACAATACTGCAAAACGTTTAGGATATAGACTAAAATACAGTCGCTCTTCTCCCACAGCTTTGTAAGATGCTTGCTTCAGTATACTGAATGCTGTTTTGATTTCTAATGCGCAGGGGCACATAAATGTAATGTACATGTGTTCTGATCCAGCAAATGTTTGAATTTCTAATGTGAGGATATAAAGCTCTCCCCCCCCCCCCGCCCCGGGTCAGGCCTTTTTATTGGTCTTTCAGAACAAAGTCCTTGTTAGGATATCTGAACCTAAGGGGTCCGGATCCAGTCACCTCGTGCCCTCGCCGTGAGCGTGAAGGAGTCAAGCAGACACCAGGGTGGGTTTCACAGAGAAAAAGGTTTATTGCAGAATCTGCGCAGAGACAGCCAGCGGAATAGCTTCCAAAGACTGGCCGCCCCCCCAATTGTCTTGCAAGCATTCTTATACTGAAGCTGCAAGCTTGGCTCCTCAGTTGCTCCCCAATCAACAGGCAGAGATAACTTCATTACCTTATTAGGCTAGCCAAGCCCCCCCTTTGCATATATTGTTTGCTTTGCATTGTATATGTTTGCATCTTCAGCACAACTGAAGCAGGAAGCCAGACAGGAAAACCACTGCTGGCCTACATAGCTGGCCTACATAGCTGGAGCAATTGTTAGCTGGAGCGCTAATACATGGTGGGGTTTACCCCCCCTCTCCCTTCATCCTCACACCCAGCCCAGTACTTGCTATCTCCTGACTATCCGTTCCATGCCCTCAATTCAACTTTCTGGTTTATTACTAGATGCATATCCCGCCTTGCTTTCAAGGAGCTCAAGGCAGCATACGTGGTTCTCTTTCTCTCCCCTTCTCCCATTATCTTCACAATAACCCTGTGAGGTAGGTTAGGCGCTTAAATAGAGAACCAAGGTCACCCAGTCAGCTTTATGGCCAAGTGGGGCTCTGAACCCTTTCTAGAGGGGCCTGTCCAGGTGATGTTGGGGGCATAGTGTCAGCCTGTGGTGGTTGTTTTGCGAACAGATCATTTGAAGATCTGCCTACACACACATTAAACTGCCTAGGCCCTAAGATCAGTTTTCGAGGCCTAATGCTGTGATCTGCCACCAGGCATGTCCAAAGTCCATTTCAGGGGCTTAATCCGGCCCGGTGGTCAATTTAATCTGGCCCCCGTGGCAGTATATGTCCTGGGGTAAAATCCTTTAAAAAGCTCAGCAACTTCAGTCCCCCCAAAAATGTCAACAATTTTGGGGTAAAATTGTAAAAAAAGCTCAGCAATTTCGGTCGGCCCTCACATGTTCACTTCATCAGATCTGGCCCTCTTTGAAAAAAGTTTGGGCACCCCTGCCACTAAGGTTGTTGGGTACCAGGGGACAGGACCTTTGGTGGCACCACACCTGTGGAATTACTTCCCATGAGTTCCTTTTGTGGTGTTTAACTGGACTTTACAGACGTTATACTTCTGCCAAGCATTTATCTTACTGCTGACACCCCCATATTTGCTTTATAATCTGATGTCTGTGTTAATTTGTTTTGAGCATTTATAGTGTAAACCGCCTTATGATGCTTTGCCCAAAAGGTTGGGGTGGAAATATTTTAAATAAATAAAATTACCTAAGAAAAGGTAAGAGAGAAGAAAAATTGTAAGGTTCAATTTGTTTTATGATACTTGATTATTACCTCTGGCTAAACTCTTTAGCACTAACTTGGCAGAGTAAGTCTGGTAGCTAGCGCAGTGGATTCCCCTACCTTGGGGGCTTTTAAGCAGAGATTGGTTGGCCATCTGTTATGGATGTTTTAGTTGATTCCTGCATTGCAGGTTGGGCTAGATGACCCTCTGGGTACTTTACAACTCTACAATTCTACAATGCTGTGGCTCTCCAGTAAAGAACCACACTGAAGAAACAACCTAATCCATTTCCTGGTTGCCAAATAAATACAAATAAAGGGATTGCCGTACTTCTAAAAGGTCTCTCTACAACTGACATATTGTAGACCTTTCAAAAGGAGAAACTTCTGGGAATGTGCTACAGAGGGCTAAGGAGGCTACTTTCAGCAGAGCATAGAAACTGAAACATGGTATATGAGGGGTATGCAAAAGGTAAAATTTATTCTTTAAGTCAGCCTTTGCCAACCCGCTACCATTGGACTATCATGACTGTCAGCTCCAGCCAGCATGGCCATAAAGGCTGGGGCTCAAGGAAAATATGTCAAAATTTGTTCAGAATGTCAATGGCACCAAATTGGCAAAGGCTTCTCTAAGCCATAACCCCTCTTAGATTTTATTAGTGCGGAGGCTTTAAATTACTGCTCGTATTTCTTGAAATTTAATATGATAAAAGTTTAGACTAATTTTTTAGTATTGAATTAGTAACAAGAATGGAGGGAATTAACTAAAAAGTTTATTTTAAAACATTAGTTCATTGAACATGCTAAAAAAAATGCAATAAATTTAGTGACGTGGGAGTATTTGCTTCTCATTTCAATTTTACTTTGTTTTTTTAATTCAGATCCTCCTGCAAGCTTTTTTTCCCAGAAGACCCTGTGAAGATTATCAGTGCAAAGGGCCAGTATATGTATGATGAAAATGGAAACAAGTACCTTGACTGTATCAACAACGTTGCTCAAGGCAAGCGTGAAACCACATTCTTGTTAATAAGCACTCACAGGCCTAAACTACATTTATGTGTACATTCTTGTAATGGTAACCTGCTGGCCCAATTTAAACTGGACAAAACTGATTCTGGCCAGTGAAACCTGGCTTGGAAAATCAGGGGCTTAAGTGTGTGCACTTAATCATTTCCCTGCAGTTAACCTGTTCCTTATCGCATACACAGACATCCAAATTTGCCCCATGTGACAAATGTTTGATCTCTTCACAAATAACTCCAGTGCATGCCCATTAAACCTCAGCCCTACAGCTCCATGGCCAGCAGTGCCAGATCAGGCACCTGGATAGGCTGGCATGACATGGTAGGAAGGCAACTATTACGCCTATCTGTACAGCCTTTGTACAGGCATTGTTTGGCTAGCCAGTAAGCCAAGTCACCTATACCCTGACCTGATACAAGACCTCCACTGCTAGAGGGAATATGCCTTTGAATACCAGTTTAGAATCACAAGTGTGGAGAGTAGATATGCTCTCGGGTCCTGCTTGCGAGCTTCCCCATAGACATCTTGATTAGCCACTGTGAGAACAGAATGCTAGACTAGATGGGCCTTTGGCTCTTATGTTTTAAATTTTGCATGGTTTTTTAAGGACATTGTCAGGGGTTCAGGGAGAGAGGCACAGGGTAGGCAGGAGATGGAGAGCGAGGGGGAGGAATTCCAAGCCAGCGAGGAAGAGGATGACAATGACTCAAGAGATTCCATGAGTCTTTCCAGCGAATCAGAGGATTCCCAGAAGGGGGCGCCGGTGGTCAAGGCCAATGCAGCCCCAGGGGGGAAGTGTCAGGAGCAGGGTGCTAGCGGAAGATCCCAAAGTGGCAGCTGGGCGTCAGGACCAGCCTCCCCACCAGAGTGCAGCGAAGGGGTGGAGTTTCCAGTGTGTCAGAGGAAGCAGCTCCAGCAGCAGAGAAAGGAGGGGGTCAGGGCAAGCCGCCCTCCCGGAGGGGGGGGAGCAGTGAAGGGAGTAGTGTAACTGTCAAAAGGAAAGTTAGAGGTTTGGCGCGCGCGCCTAGTTCAAATGTAGAGGCGCGCGGAAGTGCAGGGAGCCCGGAGGAGGGGCCAGGTCCCAAAGCCCGCAGGAGGGGGGGAAGAGCAGTCTGGGGATTCCGCGTCAGAGGAATCCAGGAGGGGCGAAACCCCAGTGGGCAGAAGGACCCTGCGGAAAAGGAAGGAGAGAAAGAGGTGGAGCAGCGCAAGTCTCTTAAATTGGTGCAGGGGAGAAACTGACTCAGAGGGGACTTCGGCGGTCTAGCGTAAGAGACGTAAGGCTGCGCGCCTAGGATGTCAAGCAAACCATGAACTGCAATAAACACTTTTGTATATAAGAAGACATAGGCGTTGGTCTTTTGTGAGCTAAGACCTGAGGCAGCCTTGACAGACATATATAAAATAAAGGAGTCAGAGCCAACATTTGCCTTAATAGCATTTATGGACACTTGGCATTCTCTCATCTTGCATCTTCCTTATTTTTCAGTTGGACACTGCCATTCAGAAGTGATCAGAGCAGCACATCAACAAAATTTGGCACTAAATACAAACTCTCGGTATTTGCATGACAATTTGGTGGACTATGCACAAAGACTCTCTAATACATTGCCTAAGAAGCTGTGCACTTTCTATTTTTTGAATTCAGGGTAAGTTTGTGACACATTGCTTAATAGGACTTCTTCATGAGCACCATTTCAAGCTGCATTTCTTCTAAGGCTGCAGTCCTGTACACGCTCCCTTGGAAGTAAATATCAACTGCTTAGTAAGAATATGTAAGATGAAGCAATTAACTTTAAATTAGTCACACTAGAAATTGACTAACTTTTTCATTGTAGGTCAGAAGCCAATGATCTTGCTCTGAGATTGGCACGGCAGTATACAAAACATGAGGACATACTTGTGGTGGACCAGTAAGTATATATATATACTTTTAACAAAGTAAAATTATAAAGCAAACCTGGGAATTTTCATTTAACTTTTGAAGAGAAAGTTAAAATGCCCAATGTAGACATGTTTTTACTAGAAAGTTGGGAGTGTCTTAGGGTTTATTCTCTTGCATAATTTTTTTACATTTGAATCCTGCCCTTCTTCCAAGGCGTCTCAGAGCAAGGTACGTGAGCTTCCCAGGCAACTTACCACCCAGGTACTTGTCAAGCCTAGACCTGCTTCTGTTTCTGAGCCAGGAGTACATCAGGTTCCTTAAGTCCATTTTCTGGGCCCCAGGTTGCATGTTGTCAACATCAAGGTACAGTACATACAACCTTGCAGGAAATTACACTGTGCTACCAATGGAATGGGCACTGTGCTTCTTGACTAAATCATAATTTATACTGTCATTACAAGAGCTTGAAGAAACAGAAAATTTATCTTCCAGGCAGCTGCTTGCCTTCTCCAGAAAGGGGCAACAGAATGAATATGTGAAGTGCTTAAGCACAGCAGCTTCAGTTTGGCAGTCTAAATGCTGCAAAATCTCTGGTAGTCCCAGTGAATTAATGTAGACTTCACTGTGTGGTTCTACTGATTGTTTGTTTTTATTTAAAGTGCTTATCATGGACATCTGACATCCCTGATTGACATAAGTCCATATAAATTCAGAAATCTAGAAGGCCAAAAGGAATGGGTCCATGTGGTATGCAAAAGAGAGCGTACTTTGACCATTTTCCATTAATTTCTAATTCATCTAAGCTCTGATGATGTGAATAGCAATTACACTTTCTTTGGACAGGCTCCTCTTCCTGACACATACCGAGGATTATACAGAGAAGACAATAAGGATCCGGCCACAGCATATGCCAATGAAGTGAAAAAAATAATTGACCAAGCACAGCAAAAAGGAAGAAAGGTAAAATAAAGAGTTAAGTGGAATATAACCTTTCATCCGTCATATAATGTCAACCTGACTTTAATGTATTCTGAAAATTTTTCACATGTAATGTGTATATTTCATCTCAAGGAGTAACTGCGCTGAAAAGGTTTCAGATAATAATTTATCTTCTGCGTGTACATATACCATTTGCTCAATAAACAGAGATTTGTGTGTGTGGAAGGCAGGCAGGCAGCCTAGTACTGTATGAAGACTTCTGAATTAGGAACACAAAATGCTGATACAGCTTGAAATGTGGCATGCATACCGCTACAGACTTCACTTCATTTTATCTTTTCAGTTTGCTGCCTTTTTTGTGGAATCTTTACCAAGTGTTGCTGGACAAATCATTCCACCACCTGGTTATTTCCAAAAGGCAGCTAAGTGAGTATTGCTTTTTAACTTTCCTTATATATTTTCCCACTCCCAACTAAACTGCTTTGTTTGAGCTTCTGGCTAAGGACTTTTGGTGCTGTTGTGAACTCTGCCAAAGTTAAGCACTTTTAAATCCCATTGATTTCATTGGGAGAAATAGCCATGTGTCACACTGAAAACAATAAGGCTTAGAAGTGTGCAACTATCTTTAATGGAAATAATTATCTTACTTGCTGTTCAATTTTGTCAGCACTGAACAATTTTTTGTTCATTGTGCTTATTGCATTTTTAATTTTAAGGAAATTTAATATTTTGAAGCACACAATCAAATATTCCAACTTTTAAAATGAGAATCAGCTACTAAACTAATTATAAATTTATTGGGTTTTATACTCCTTTATACCTGTGTGTGATTTGGCTTTTTTAATAGGCACATACACAGCGCAGGAGGTGTATTCATTGCTGATGAGATTCAAGTTGGCTTTGGAAGGGTTGGCAAACATTTTTGGGCATTTCAACTTCAAGGAGAGGATTTTATTCCCGATATTATCACCATGGGAAAACCAATTGGCAATGGGCATCCTGTTTCTTGTGTAGCAACGACAAAGGAAATTGCAGAGGCGTTTTCAGCAACAGGAGTAGAGTATTTTAACACGGTAACTTCCCAAATCCGTATTGTGTGACTGCAAACTACCTGTGAAAGACATCTTTAATTAGACATTTTTGTTTAATGTAAAGATAAAGGTACCCTGACCGTTAGGTGCAGTCGCGGACTCTGGGGTTGTGCACTCATCTCGCTCTATAGGCCGAGGGAGCCAGCCTTTGTCCGCAGACAGCTTCCGAGTCATGTGGCCAGCATGACTAAGCCGCTTCTGGCGAACCAGAGCAGCGCATGGAAACGCCGTTTACCTTCCCGTGGTACCTGTTTATCTACTTGCACTTTGTGCTTTCGAACTGCTAGGTGGGCAGGAGCTGGGACTGAACAACGGGAGCTCATTATGTCGCGGGGATTGAACTGCAGGTCGGCAAGCCCTAGGCTCTGTGGTTTAGACCACAGCGCCACCAGTGTCCCAGTTTTGTTTAATGTACTTTCATATAAACTGTTGTAGTGTGCTGCTTTTAGAATTCCTTTCAATTCAGATTAGTCCACTACTAAATGTAGAAAGCTTATCTCTACTTTGTGATTTTCTTCCCCCGGCCCCGGGTTCAGTTTGGAGGAAATCCTGTGTCCTGTGCAATAGGTATAGCGGTCTTGGATGTGATTGAGAAGGAACAGCTTCAACTCCATGCCCTCCAGGTGGGAAGCTTCCTCATGGAACTACTCAATCAGCAAAAAGCAAAACATCCTCTAATTGGCGATGTCAGGTATCAATTTCTTTACAATCCAATCTTTATGTGCTTTAACTAGTAACTATTTCATCCTCTTTATAAAGAGAAAGTACCTGCCTTACCGCCACTTGCCATTTTTAAAAATGGAGCATTAAATGGAGAAGCCAACTTACAAAATCTATGCATTGCAGCTTGTTGCCTTCTTACTGATACCCTTTTTCTTTTAAAAGGGGTGTTGGATTGTTCATTGGAGTAGATTTGGTGCAAGATCAAGAGAAAAGAACCCCTGCTACTGAAGAAGCAGCCATCATCGTAACAAGGTATATATGGCTTCCCCATCCCTGATCAACACTAATTCATTGTGTCCCCTCACTTTTTCCAGATTTCTTGTATGTTCAGAGTTGGTCATGTGAATATTACAAGTGGAGATATGTGGAGCCTCTAAGCCATTCCTCCCTTTGCACTTACCTTCTATCCATCACAGGTATCTGTGGGTGTTTATTCCAAGAACCGGGGGCAGAGAATATACAGCAGGGGTAGGAAACCTGTGGTCCTCTGGATGTTGTTGGGATTCCCATCAACAAGAAATAAGAGTTGTAATTGGAGCATCACAGGTTCCCCACCCTAGCCTAAAGCGTGAGTGCAGAGGGAAGAAAAGGAAAGCACACCAACTCACTCTCTCATAAACTGCATCAAAGCTAAATGATTCTTGTGTCTTTTTCCTTCCCAGTTTGAATCACAGTCCTGTCAGCAGCACCTTCCAATTATTCTGGGTAGCAAACATACCCCAGCATAAGTCCCAATTTGCCTGCAAGGACATTGGATGTGGAGCAGGTCTAGCTCATGCCACTGATACTAGCATGGTTGAAGACTTCAGGCCTGCTGGGATCAGCTGTGCAACAGTTTCCCATTGGGAACTTGGATCACAGCCAATCCATGCAGAAAGCAGCTTTGCCAGTCCTTAGGTTGGTACTTGGGAAGTGCTTTGTGCAGCAGTTCCCAAGTGCCTTTCAATCAAGCAACTGTCTGTCAGGTACTTGGGAAGCACTGTACAAGGGAGGGAGGTGGGACAATACAGCTGTCAATCAGCGGACTTTGTCCACCTGATTCAGAACACCCCCCACCTTGGTGTACTTTTTGAGACATGTGATAACAGAAAGTGTTCTTGGAAAATGGCTTGGGATCCATATTTTATTATTTTAATGTAAACTGTGCTCATTTAACTGACATTTTTGTAACCTGCCTGGAACCATTTGGTAAAGGGTGGACTGTAAGCACAATATATGAGAGTAAGTATGGGGGTCAGCATACACTGAGGGCAATAGTAAGGGTCTGGCCAATCAACCATCTTTATAAGTTTATTAAACAGGATTCCTCTTTCCTTCCTTGTCTACCTCTGCTAAGTTATTCACAGCGAGATTCTGTGGATTCTCTGCTGTGAGCTCATAACCTTTCTGGAGCAGACAGGCTCCATGCTCATTGCAGGGAACTACTGTGATCAACCTGGTGCAGAGTTCATTAGACACAAATCAAAACTGTCAGGTGCCGCCCAATTGACTTATTGGGTTCTGACATACTGTGAGTAGGCCCACTGAAATTAATAGTAATGGCCAGTGCTTTTTTCTAGAAAAAGTGGCAGTACTCACCAAAGTTGTTACAGCAAGTACCAGGAAAAAAAGCACTGGGTAGAGGTAATAAATTATTAGTATTGTTGTATGCAGCCCATAATAAAAAACTGCATCATAGTAATAAAAAAAGCCTTCTGAGCAAGGCAAAGAAAAACAAGCTTTTGCAGCGGGAGACAGCCAAGTGGAGGCACTTCCTTCCCCCCCTCGCTTCATCCATCCATCTCTGCCGCTCCCTCAAATGCTGATCAGAAAGAGGGTGGGATGTTGTGACACATACAATTTATTTTTGCAAAGACAAGAGTCTGCTTCTCTCTGTCCGCCTGCCCCATCCCCTTGATGCTGATGTTTTCCAACAGGTGCCCAGCTGGGCATGGCGGTGGCTGATGCTCCTCCAATACCTGTAGGTCTGTGGCAGGACGTAGTTTCCTCGGCCAAGAATCATGTGCGCCAGGCCCCCTCCGCAGGTTCTCCCATAAGGATGTCCAGTGGAGCCCCCCACCCCCAATTCTCTCCCAGAAAGGGCAGGTAGCCATAGGCAAGCTTAAAGCATCAGGGGACTGGCTAGTGGAGTGAAGAAGGTGCAGCAGCAACAATCACCAAAAGAAAAAATGTGCTTGCCAATATCCACCCTCCTGTGCCACAGTTGCCCTAGCAATGGCGGCAGCAGCATGATCACCCAGCAAAAACAGGCAAAAGTCTCTGCCGCCCCTTCACATTATGCTCCCTCTCTTCCCCACCCCACAAACTGAGCCTGGCCCATCCTGCCAGAGTAGCTCCCTCCCCCTCTCCCTCACAGCCGTGCCCAAGCTCCACCCAATGTTGCAGCAGGGCACCCATGCGGGAAAATGCAAGGCCCCACAACAAGCAAGAAGGGAAGGGAGAGTGTGCAGTCATTTCCTAACCTTGCCCTGTGGCATGCTCAGCTTTGCCTCTCTGCCCTTGTCACCCAGGATTAGTTCCTCCTACCCAAATATCTGGCAAACACATCTATTCATAATTATATTTATTAATCTGTGTTTTTTCCTAGAAAAAATAGTGATGGTACTGTACACCAGTGTAACCCGCCAAAAAAAGCACTGGTAATGACTTACTTGGGTCTGCTCTGAGTAGTGTATTTGGATAAAACTCTCAGTGTGCAAAAAGCCACTAGCTCTGGGGCCCAATTCTAGTCCACTTCATGGAGCAGGAAGAAAATCCCCTTTGCTGGTAGTGTTGATAAGCTCTTTGCAGCTACTGATAGCTTGCAGTGGTGCTTTTAGTAGAGACTGTATACTGTGGCAGTGACAGAATAGCTGACAAGAGATTTTACCACTAGTTACTTCAATCAGCCATTTTTTCCTTTTTAAAAAATCTAGATTAAAGGAAGAATTCATTATGTTGGCTACAGATGGTCCAGGCAGAAATGTGCTTAAGTTCAAGCCACCGCTCTGTTTCAATGCAGAAGATGCAAAACTGGTTGCGGACAAACTTGATAAAATATTAACAGGTAAGGAAGGAAAGTACGCTGAGAAACAAATCCTGCACCTACACAGAACAAGATTTACATTGCTGAATGATTTAAAGTGTGTTTTACGTGTTGATTGCCTGTTATTCTTTGCAACTCAAGCGGGGGGGGGGGGGGCTAATCGCGGATTTTTAAAGCCCATGGAAGAAAATCAATTCTGTGCTATATGTATGTGCACTGAGGCCCCAACACCTTCCCCAGTGTAATGACTTCTTTCAGTATGCCATTCATGACATGCAAGTCTTCTCATACAGCTACCTTTCTCAGAGAAGGGGATTGGGGATGAGCACATATTGAAACACTGCAGCCATGCCGCTTTTCCATGTGGAAACCCTTTGTTTTGGTTGCTATTTTGAGATGTAGCTACATTTAGTCTATATTCTGTTCTGCCCATTCCACCTGAATTCTGATGCAAAGACGACAAAGAACTGCCAACAGAAACACAATTGGACACTAAAAGCAAGGGGCACACTATTCTGAGTCTAGCTCAGGAGCAAACAGAGGAACAGCATACAGTGGGTGGGGGAAGATGATGTCAAAGAATCAACTTTAGCACCTTCAGGAATGAGAATAAAATTTGTATTGCTGGAAGAAGAACCAGTAATATTGGTCTTTGCCACAGGGAGATCATCTAATTAATACTGTTGAATATTCTACAGAGCTAGAGAAAAGAGAAGCTTAGAGAAAGTTCACTTCCACTACCTTCATATGGTAAGTATTCAGGTAATCTGATGATAAAAAAAGAGTCAAATACTCCATGAAGGAATCCAGTCAATTCATTAATCTAAATACACAATGAATGTACACAATTATATCCTAGCAATGTATAATCTACAATAAGCATGTTATTACAAAGTATTAAGGAAACTTTCACTGAGCTTTGAAATGAGAATATTTAATTCTTTCATTCCATCTCTTACAGGTTACAGACATGGTGCTGAATTCTACCATGTTTCTAATATATTTTACTTAAGCTACAATACCAAAAATACTACCTTTTCCCAACTACAATTATTAAATTTATTGTCTTTGTTGTAATACTGATAGTACATAAATTCAAAGCTCTACAGATGTTATTTGTTAATCCAACTCTTCATGCAGTGGAGTAAAAATCAGTTGATTTATCCAGAAAACAAACTGCTTTATTGGTTACAGAACCTAAACCACAACTTACACTCATTTCTGTTTATATTATAAAATTAGCACCTTCCAGTCATTTGTGGGCATGTTTTCTTCCTTCCTAACAATAAAGCAAGCAATGGCTAAAGTTAGCAAAGCTTATACCTAAACATACCAACATTTTAATTATGCGGGAATCTTTTCTAAGTTTTGTAGGGATACGCATTTCAGAGAAAAAATACTTTTTTCCAAATGTTTTCAACAAGCAATTTTACATGGAAAGTGTTTACCTACCATCAAATCCATGTTATATTTTTCATTCAGGATCAAAGGGAGGTACTAAAGAACTATTAAACCAGATAGCAGATTTGGCTATGCTAATAAAAAATAACAGTTCATTCTTTAAAAAAAAAGTTTTACTTTTAGATGACATAGATTTAGGAACTACCCACCTGCATTATTTAGAACTAATTTGCTGGTTAAAATTTTACTGTGTCCCTATCAGCAGTGACCTTATTTCATAGTATCTCTTCAGACTGCTGGCTCCTAGTGCTACAGGTATGGAAGGACAATTTTGAGCATGCTTCTTAGATTTTCTTTAGATGCAGTTACACAAATTTCCATCTTTAAAAATAATATGCTAAAAAGTGTTTTAAAATTCAACTTGCTATCGTTTAACCTGCACTAATACAATAAAATGGTGCTGACCAGAACCACAGCAGTAAACATGCCAAAGCACAGATGCATGGCAACAAGTTCACATCCCGATGTGTCAAGACCATGTCCCCCTCTCTCAAAAAAGGCAAAAGCTACAATAAGCCACACATGGATCTGCACTACTTTTCCATTCTTTGCACATGAAAACATAGGAGAAAAAAAACCACAGGATGCCAACAATTTGACATCATTTTGCCCCGTAAGGACTCAGTGAATGGAAGAGTATGGAACAATCCATAATTGCATGATGCAGAGCAGAACTGCCCCACGACACTGGGGTTTTCCTCTTCCACTTAGCCTCCTGAGTAGTGCCTCATGATAGTTGAGACAACCTGCTTTTGGGTCAGTAGGGTTTGCTTATAGGAGCCTTTAGCTTTTGCATGGGACAATTTAGAAATGAATAATTACATTTAGCGATAAAAAGGCTAAATCACAGTCTTTTCTTTCAGGCTCTGTTCACTGCAACCACTCATGCTTTGACAAGCAAACTATGGGGTCTATGAAAATGGTTAAAAAAAAAAAAAACCAAGTAACTAGAGCTATGCTACCATTCAGCAGCCATGAACTTGTAATATTTAGGCCTAATTTGGGTCTCCTAAGAGCTGCACTTAGAAAATAAAATCAGCTTACAGATTGGTGCAGTTGTCACATGACCAACCACTTCCTTCTCATCTTTAATCATAGTTGGCAACATACTTTTAAACCATAGCTAATGCTAACCAAATTTTAAAGCCAATGTCAGAACCAAAGTTAACACTAAATATGCTCAATGGTGAAAGAGGAAGCATTTGTATTAAGAGGAAAACACAATCTCTCACAGCCTTCCCATTACCTTAATTATGATTCAGCAGCAGGCTACAGCAGCGCTATGTTGCTTTGCATTCAATACAGCATATTTTAAATACCATGAGAGTTGAGGCAGCTTAGCATGCTGTAAAATGTGAAAAGGTTCTCCCTCTACAAAGTCCAGGTCATCCTAGTTGATCTAATTTTTGTTAAAATAATAAAAATTGAAGGCTGCTATAAGATAGAAAGTAGAAACAAAAGTAGTACTGAAAATCCAACTTTTTAGGTATCTTTAATATTATCTTAGCATTTTTAGCATTAAATGCTTAAATTCTAAACAATAGTTAATAAAGCACACAAGAGCACAAAGCCAGGCAGGTTGACAGTTTTAAGTGTGGTCTGTCATTTATCGACTAGAGCCTACTGGGTGGTTCAGACAGAATGCACATACTACATGAGATGCTGGAGGGCGGGGTTGTATATATAGTACTAAGCATGTTTCCCAGTTTCTAAAAGCAGCTCAAGTGAGCTCAAATATACAACAAAATCAGACTTTGATGTGGCAAACGTGTCTAACATTTTCTTGCGTGTGTAAATACAGCCTTGAGCCTCACACTGGTTTAAATGTCTAATTTTACAAGTAGATTCCTATTCCCCTAATTCCTACTCAAGCCAATCAGATGCAGTTATCCAATAAGTCCATGCATTTGCCTGAAAGCATCTCAACACCTATTCTGATTACCATTTTTTTCTTAGCTTTGCAATACATACTACTTTGAATCCAAAACTGTTTAACCAAACTCACTGATCACTCATCAATTTTAGGGTTAGAACATGTTCCAAATCTGAACCCTGAAATTTATGCACCAGCCACCATCATTTCTACTGAAATTCTAGTAGGCATTTCCCCTGAGCTACAATAGGATAGCTGGAATAATGGCACAGGATACTAGATTATGCTTTTTTATTCAAAAGCTAAGATAGCATCAATATCCATGTCATGGTGAATCAGAACACATGTAAAATACCTTACAATACATTAGATTCCAAAAAGGTACCAAAAAGTACAGTAAAATTAACACTTCCGTTAGAGGAAATGTATGACACAAAACCAATACAAAATAAAAAGGTGGAAAGTGACACTGGTTCCCTAAAATGCATCTCATTCTGTACAACTGGAATAACGTAGTTCATAGTTAACTCCAAGAGGCAGTCCCTAGATGCAGAGCTGCAGCTTTAAGCAGACCATCAAAATCAGTTTCAATTTAACCTATCAATAAAATCATTAATCTTCAGCAAGGCTGAAATTTACACACCACACTGTCTAGACAACTATTATCTGTAAATATTAAACAAAGACATTTCCAGGGAGCTCTTCAGATACACATAACAGGCCATAGAAATGTATTGTAAAGTTAATTTTGGTACATAATTGTAATGTCCATCTACAGCATTGAGTACAAAACCTATGCAGTTGTTTTCTGCATTACAGCGTGCCACTGCATACCTGAATACCTTTTTGATCAATATGGCTTGTAGTTATTCTGATGACCACGTCTTGGAGCTTTCCCATAATTTGAACTGCCTTGACCTATAAACAAGAGATCAAATGCATTAAACTGCTATTAAGTTATGCTTACATATACCTAATACAGTTCTCTTTACTTACTGTAATCATAGCCCGGTCCATATCCAAAATACCCATATCCTGAATAATCATAGCCTCCATAGCCATCATAACCTTCCTGATAGCCGTATCCTTGACTCCCATAACCCTGGTTCCAGTAATTGCCATAACCTGGACTCCAATTTTGACTTTGAGCTATAGAAAGGAAAACCATCCACAAAATCCCATTTTAGTATAGAGGTTTGTTTTAGAATGTGTCCATACTAACGTACTGTGCATAATACGTACCTCTTCTTCCACCTCTTCCTCGGCCGCCCCCAGATCCAAACTGTTGTTGCTGATACACTTCTTTCGGTTGTGCAACCTTTATCTCACACTGGGGGGGAAAAATCAAGGTTTGTATTTCAAACACTTCCTTCCAACATTTATCTATGGTTGAAATAATGTATTTTTTTTTAATTTGAATAGAATTCCCACATGTTATTAACATACATTAGGCTCAGAGTAGATTCAAGTTTTCATCTGAATCTCTAGCTACTGGATGGAAAGAGACAGGACAGCAGGACTTTTAAACACTTATCTTCAGTGTGCATCTTAAAAAGACTCAAATCACTAGAATTTATAATGATTAAAGTTGATGGCAGCCTCTCTATTTTAGTCCATTTATTCCATGCACAATTGCCCTCCAAATAACAATGCTATGCATGTCAACCTGCTGTCCTAGGATTCTAAGTCAACAGCATGCAATTTCCCTTTAAAAGTTTTCTATCAAATGCTTCCATTCAAACCAGTCCCCTCTGTGATCAGTCAGGCAACCTCCTTTGACTTGTTTGGTATGGCAAAGCACATCCTAAACAATGTAAGCTTCGCCTTACAAAGAACATGGTGGTAAGACTATGTATTTTAATCAATTTTTAAAATTAAGCCAAAAGTCTGTTTTTAACCAGTTGTCTTGGCACTTAAGGTAAGTAAAACTACAAAAAATAATAGAAGTAAAGATTACTGCCCCTTTGTCCCTGATTTCTTCCAAAAAGTCTTTCCAGAGTAATGGAAAGGGGTGTGTTTGCTACTCCTGAACTATGTGGGTACATAAAACTGGGCAGAGTGGAGATCCATTTACACAAAGTGTTGTTGCCTGAGTTGAGATTTCAAGAAGCTTTTCAGGAACAAGGGCAATTGCAAAACTATTTTGTTAACTTTCCTTGGTTCATTTATCTTAAAATCCAATACAGTGGTGCCTCGCAAGACGAAATTAATCCGTTCCGCGAGTCTCTTTGTCTTGCGGTTTTTTCGTCTTGCGAAGCACGGCTATTAGCGGCTAAGCGGCTATTAACGGCTTAGCGGCTTTAAGAAAAAGGAAACAAATTCGCAAGACGTTTCGTCTTGCGAAGCAAGCCCATAGGGAAATTCGTCTTGCGGAACGACTCAAAAAACGGAAAACTCTTTCGTCTAGCGAGTTTTTCATCTTGCGAGGCATTCGTCTTGCGGGGCACCACTGTAGATGTTTTAAAAACATTGGTTTAATGTCTATAAAACTTGCAAAGGAAGTCCCAAACGCCATAAATTACACTGGTCTCTTAAAAGTGACCATTCTATCTTAAGGTTTGACATCTGTGGCTAAAAACTATTAATCATTTTTTTGGCTTCTACTAGACACAGGGACTAGCAAGATAGGTGCTAGATCAGGCATAGGCAAACTCGGCCCTCCAGATGTTTTGGGACTACAACTCTCCCCATCCCCGACCACTGGTCCTGTTAGCTAGGGATGATGGGAGTTGTAGTCCCAAAATATCTGAAGGGCTGAGTTTGCCTACTCCTGTGCTAGATATTGGAAATGCTATCCAGCATAACATAAATCAAAGAGCCCTGTGCTATTATATGCTCTGTCTTCCCTCCCTACAGGCTCAATTGAGTTACTTTCACACTGCATCCACACCAACAAACTATGGTTGTAGGAACTCTGCAAATCAAGATAAAAAATTAATGATAGTCTAAAAGGGTCACACAACCTATAACAGCACTAAAAAAAACCAAAAAACCACTATCTATATTTGTACCTACTCTTAACTACCAAAAGGAATTACTGTAAAAATATTTTTGGGGGGTGGGGAGCACCAAATATTGTCCTCACTCAGGGCACTTTATTACCAAAGTCACCCCCCCCCCGCCGGGTCTATATGGCAGTTTGAAATGCAACATCCAACTTGTTTCCATGGAAGCTGTTCTGGAAGGAAGGAAGGAAGGAAGGAAGGAAGGAAGGAAGGAAGGAAGGAAGGAAGGTGCTCCTTGAATTGTATAGGGATTTGCAATCGTGATTTGATGTTACATCTGATCCACCTTGCTAACAAAGATCATTTGTGGAAACCATATGGATATCCTTCCATTATTTTATGTCCTTCAACTACTCAAGCAATGTGGCATTTCCCCAATGGACACTACCAACTAAAATCAGTATTGCCATTTTATTTTCTGTAACCTAGAGAAGAATAATTAAGTAACTACCAGCTCTTGTTTCTGGAAACACTAGACTCTGAAAACTTTCAAATAAGCAATTGTAGTATTGCAGCCTTAAACTTTCAAGTGAGTGATCTTACGCTGGTTCCTTAAATGTGTACAAATTGCATGTAATTCTTTGGCTGTCTCTTAAGATGTAATTCTATTGTGCAGATGGCATGGGGGCTGCATGAGCAAAAGACTGTAAGCATTATTACGTTCCAAACCTATGGGCTCATTCAGTCCCTGTGCATAGCTTCCATGCACAAAGACGCTCATAGAATAGAACAGCCTTGTTTTCTTCATCCAGCTGTAACACATGGTGTGTGCAGGGATCATCGCAGGCCTTTACACAAACTTGTGGGTGGGTGTGGGTGGGTGTGACACTTGTGTGAAAGGGAGGAGAAAAAGAAAAACAAACTTGTGTGTCTTATAATGAGCCTACATATACAACTAGATTAGATCAACCACAATCAGGTTTCAGTTGTTATGGGACCTAGTTAATAGGCATGGTTGTTCAGGAAATATTAACATTGAAAGCTTATATACCCAGAGATAGTATTTTAGAACAAGGGTGTCTTCAGCTCTGAACAAACAAACTATAAATGCTATGCAGCAGTAAATCTTTTCCAACTGTATTTTCACATAAACACAAATTAACCACTGTATGAACAGCCCCTAAAAAAAAATCTTATAGTTAGTTCATTAAAACATGAATACCCACCTTGCTACCACTGACATTGTGGAATTTTTTCTCCAAAATCTTTTTCACTGGATCTTCTTCTTTAAAGGTGATGAACACAAACCCCCTTCTTTTATTGGTCTTTGGATCCATTGGTAGTTCAATTGCCTCAATCTAATGAAACATAATTTCCATTCAAAGTTTCATAAATTTCACTGCATTACTGTACCTTATAACCCCATCCTGCAAGTCTCAGATTTCAGTGTACAATTGCCCAGTGTTAAAGTAAGTTGAATTCAATGGTTAAGTTCTAAGATTTTCTTGGAGGAAAGCAACAACTGGGTTTCATAAGCAAATGGTTAGTGCTTTATGAAACTATAATGGGGGGAGGCCTTTGGTCTACTGACTTGTCAAATTATTACATCCAAGGCTCAATCCCTCAGACTGAACAGTGTTTATCAGGAAAAGTTTTAAGATCCTAAAAAGCAGTATCATTTAAGACCGTATCAGTCAGTGTCAGATCTAGCTACTACAGTATGCAGTGATACATGGTTTTATGTAGGACTATCAGGGCATTTCCAATTCCCATATTTTTCCCAACTATGGGTTGGTTGAAAGACTGACATATCAGGTGCATGAATGTGTACATATCATGTAGCAGTCAATATGACTCTAGAGCCCAAAGTATACCCTATATTTCCAATTACTGTATTTTTTGCTCTATAAGACTCACTTTTTCCCTCCTAAAAAGTAAGGGGAAATGTGTGTGCGTCTTACGGAGCGAATGCAGGCTGCGCAGCTATCCCAGAAGCCAGAACAGCAAGATGGATTGCTGCTTTCACTGCGCAGCGATCCCTCTTGCTGTTCTGGCTTCTGAGATTCAGAATATTTTTTTTTCTTGTTTCCCTCCTCCAAAAACTAGGTGCGTCTTGTGGTCTGGTGCATCTTATAGAGCGAAAAATACGGTATGTAATTCTGAATCTGAAATTCTCATGTGAGAATAGGATGCTGGACTAGGTGGGCCTTTGGTCTGTTTCAACATAATTCTTATTTTCTTAGTTCCTATTCTATTTAAACTCTTTCCCTGATTACACACCTCTCCAAACTCTCCAAAATATTCTCTGATTTTGTCTTCTGCTGCTTCTGGGTTAAGTCCACCAACAAATATTTTCTTCACAGGATCCTTTTTCATTGCCATTGCCTTTTTAGGATCAATCACTCGGCCATCCAATTTATGTTCTTTCTGTTCCAAAACCTACAAAGTAGTTTAATAAATCAGAATGAAACTGGCAGGATATACAAAAGTATTAAAATGTTAGGGTTTGAATCCTTTCAACTCACTTTGTCAACACTTGCTGCCTCTTTGAACAGAATGAATCCAAAACCTCTTGATCTGCCTGTGTTAGGATCCATCTTTATTGTGCAGTCAGTCACTTCACCAAATTTTGTAAAGTAGTCTTTCAAGTCTTTTTTGCTTGTATCCCAACTGAGACCACCAACAAACATTTTCCTGAAATAATGTTTAAATGTTAACTTTAATGCAGCAGCAAAATGGTATAGCCTAAGGTGCTTACAATTATGAAAGTCAGTGTCTTAACATGCAACATAAACAGGCAACTGATGTCATCAATTTCCTTTAAACTGTGACATTAAATCTCACTTCCCAAATATGCATTTAGATTTAACTACCAGAAAATAAGCACAAAGTGTTATATTAGAAGTTCAATTTCCTCCCAAATCAGTCTATTTCAGGTTTCAGCTGTCTGTAACAAAAACTAAATACAAGGTTAAAATACTATGCATGCTACACATTGATATTATAAGTGGAAAAAATATTGCAACTCATATTGTCATTTCTAGTCTCATCAAAACAGGTATAAATGAGTACCTGTTTTACTTTCTATGATTATTGCTCAATACTTTTAGTAACTTATGGACATGCTGCATACTCCTCTGACATTTCAAAAATCAAGCATGTAAAAGAAGCCTACCAAATTTGCGCATCATAACCTTTTTATGTTGATTTGAATGTCTTACGTTACTGATACAACAGAAATAAGACTTAGCAGTTTCATTAAGCCACATATTGGGAATCACTACTCACAACACATTTCTTAACCGTTCCTAAGATGCGTCTCATCATAGGAGCGTCGCTCAAACAAGTTAGTCCCAAATGGTTAATAAAATGAAAAGAAATAAAAAGCATAGACTTACAAAGTTTAAAAAGTATCAACTGACTGTTTACAGTCAGTGTTTATCCTACAGTTCAGGTAAGAGACCATGTGAAATTCTATTTAGCATTTGCTAAGCAGTCTGGAATATTGTTTACTTGTATCATAAAATTTGTGTTCTATTCCTAAAGGGAGAAAGAGTGTTACCTAGCAGCAGCAAAAAGTACTATGATGATGCTTTTTTAAAGCATAAATGTTTGTAAGCAACCTACTTTCATCAAATGCATTAAAAAAACCCAAGATTAATATAGAAACTGCTTAGTTGTTTGATCAAGTTTTGTTTATACATTCACTGCTCCTGTTTCACAAACAATGTTGCCCATTTAAGTATGAAAGCTTAAAAAGCATCTCCATCGCTGCAAAGCCAATAAAATAGCATGGAGCCAAATGAAGGGGGTTTTGTTTGTCCAATTGCTTTTTAGGAGAGTCTCTCAACTGAAATCGCTAACGAAACATTAAAAAAATGGGGGTGGGGGGACGCGGGGCAGAACTGAAGGTCAAATGTGGTCCAAGAATTGAAGGCAAACTGCTCAGTTTCACTTCAAGGAGGTTACTTTTTAAGATATCAAACTTCCTAAACAAGAACGCACCTATGGAAAGTGTCCCGCGCTTCACCCAACTACCGTCGACTTCCGTCAAGCGGCAAGAGGAAGCGAGTCAGTGTATTTGAGGAAAGCACGCAAGGAGGCGGGGGAGAAGGGGGCGGGGGATATGAGATATCTCTTCAAATTTTGTAGATCTGCAACCCTATTACGCGGTCCCTACACACCGCTAAGCGATCGCGCCAAAAAAAGCGCGCAAGGAAAAACTCGCCACAGCTCCGAAAAGCAAAAAAAAATGCGCCCAGCCCCTCCCCCACCACCACATGGCGCCAACAAAAGGCAGCTCCAGAACAAAGGAGGAGGTCCCGCCGTCGCAGCCCAGGCCCGGCTTATTGTGTGCTTCACCCCCAAAAGCAAAGTCGCGAGGGAAGCGAAGCGCCCCCCCCCCCGCCCCGCTATAGCGCAACAGCTACCCTTTGTCCAAAAAACCCCACATTCAAACAAAAGCCCGTACCAAGCAGGAAAAGGGCGCGCAGGGCTGAGGCGAAGCGGCAGGGCCTCGGGCCTGTCATCCCGAGCATATTTCTACGGCCCGGCCCGCCCGAAAAATAAAGGTGATGATAAGATTAGGAAGCAGCTCTGCTCACCCCGCATCCTCCTCGTTCTTGCTGGCGTTGATCTGGTCGCCTTCGGCTCCGTTCTGGCTCCCAGCGGCCTCCGCCGAAGCCTCCGACTGCCCCGCCGCTGCTTCTTCCTCCGTCGCCGCCGCCGCCGCCTCCTCCTCCTCCTCTTCTTCTTCCTCGGCTACGGCCACCGCCGCCAGCTCCTCTTCCTCCTCCTCCTCCAGCTGCTGGTCCGGCTGCTGCTCCTCATCGCCGCCGCTGGCGGAACCCTCGGCCGCTGCTGCCGCAGCCTCGTGCCCATTTTGGGTGGCGCCGAACTGGTGCTCCACCTCGGCCATGGCTGATGCTGCCGCTGCCTCGAACCTGCGCGAGCGACAACAACGGAAGTCCCCCGCCCTCCCGTCAGTGGGGCCTAGCAAGGGGAAGGAAGGCGCCTCTCCGGGTGCCCAAGCCGCCTCTCAACCACCCGCCTTCCCCTCTCGGGGGCTCTCGGAACTCACGTTTAAAGAGCCGCTCCCCTCACGATCTCAGGCGACCCCGCGATCCGGTTCCACGAGCCTCTTGCTGCCGTAGTCGTCAGCCGCGGCTCCGCCCCTCCCGCGCAGTTCCTGACGGACGAGCAGACACAGCAGTTCGGCGCTACCCGAAGGGGGAAAAGCACGTTCCCGCGCCGCTTCCTTTTATAGACTCCTCGGGGCCGCGCGAGCACCCTCCAGCAAGCCTCCCGCTCATTGGCCGAGCGCAGCAGGCACCCGCATAGAAGGGCATTTCTCATACGTCGCGGGTAGGCCCATGCGCTCTCTTCACCTCCTACTCCTAGCTCTGCGGCCTGGCCTAGGCCTGCGGCTAACCTGCGGGAATGTCGAAATAGAAACCTAGAGGCCTCACAGTTAAAAAGGCAGAGAGCGCGAAGGCGTCCTCCCCCTTCTCCTTGAGACCACCAATTCCCGTGTGGGAGGAAGCACTATTAATCTCTCAACACAATCCCCGAATAAGCATAGCTGGTTGCTCTGAGGCACCGGCAGCAACCAGCCCCCACAGCCTCGAGCGGCGCCTCCCCACCGCACTTCCCCAGCAGGCCAAAAACCGCCCGCTTCGCCGCCCAGAGCGGAAGGCTGAGGGAATGGAGACGCCGACTGCTCCCGCTCTCGCTCTTTCTCACCCCCGCCCCACGTAAGGGAGCAACGGGGATCGGAGCTGCTGCTGTCAGTACGCTGTGCTCGCTCTCTGAATATGGCCCGGTGATTGGGGTGAGGCCCACTGCAGCGCCCAGAAGCACGAGGTCACTGCTACATAACCCTCCAACATTTCCCCGATGAAAACAGGGACGCCCCACTCCATAATGATAATTTTACTACAGTATTTATACCCCACACATCTTACTGAGTTTGTACCAGCCACTCTGGGCAGCTTCCAACATATATAAAAACATAATAAAACATTAAACATAAAAAACCCCTTCCCTATACAGGATTGCCTTCAAACGGCTCGGGGGTCAGATAATGCCATACCCTCCAACATTTCTCCAATGAAAATAAGGGAAAGTGGAGCATTCCGGGATCAAATCAGAAACCGGGACAGCTTCTCTGAATCAGGGGTGTCCCTGGAAAATAAGGACACTTGGAGGGTCTGCTGCTAGGATGGGCCACTGCTGCTTCCTCCCCGCATGTGGCTGTGGGGATTGAGACTCCTGCCCTGAGAACGAGAGACGATGGGGGGCAAATGAGCGGAAGCAGCTGTCTGTGATTCTTGCAAGCCACTTGGCTGCCCAAGCAGCAGAGGTAGCTGCAACTTGGACTAGCTTTGTTTGGCCTTTCGGGTTTATATCCTGTGAAGGGATACTTCGAATAAATAGGGGTAGTGGTGTCCTGAAGTGCCTTCTTTTCCCTTTCCATGCTGACAGGGCCATTCCTTTTTACATACAGTATGTATAACTTGAGGGACGCGGGTGGCGCTGTGGGTTAAACCACAGAGCCTAGGACTTGCCAGAAGGTCGGCGGTTTGAATCCCCGCAACGGGGTGAGCTCCCATTGCTCTGACCCTGCTCCTGCCAACATAGCAGTTCAAAAGCACATCAAAGTGCAAGTAGATAAATAGGTACCGCTCTGGCGGGAAGATAAACGGTGTTTCCGTGCCCTGCTCTGGTTCGCCAGAAGCGGCCTACTCCTGCTGGCCACATGACCCGGAAGCTGTACGCCGGCTCCCTTGGCCAATAAAGCGAGATGAGCGCCGCAACACCAGAGTCGGCCACGACTGGACCTAATGGTCAGGGGTCCCTTTACCTTTATGTATAACTTGTACACTACATTCTGTGCCACTAAGAGGGCAGAATACTCCTAAAGGCACGCAGCCTTAGGTTAACACAAGCATTAATACATCCAAAGAATTGGGGAATCCAATCTCAGCACAGTTGCCTCTCTAAGGAGCAGAATAAAGCATATCTTTATTCTGGGAATTTCCTCTTTGCCAGCATTATCAGCTATGTCACTCTATTATCAAATAGTTTCTCTATGTTGGGGGATGGGGTGGCAAGACCTCCCAAATCCCTAGATTCAGTAAAGGTGAGCAAACTGATAAATTATTTAATTTAGCAAGTTAACCTCCTCATGAGGCCAGGTTGGTGGTGGCTAGCCATGGGTGGGCCATTGAAGAAACAATGGTGCTGATATCCAGTCAATAGCCCTTCAAGGGAAGATAACTAAATTTGTGAACCAGTTGCAGAGGGTGTGATGTCATCACAGGAAAAAGTGCCTTTTGCAGCAGGTTTTTGAAACTGAAGTTGCCAGAGTGACAGGTGGCAATAGGCTGCACCAGGAGACCAGGAACAGAGATGCTTGGCAAGGAACTGTATTGGCACCCCTTTCCCTGTCCCCTTGCACCCTTGGCATGGAGATGTTGACTGCCCAGAGCAGTGGAGGAACAGCCTAGGGAGTGCATGGTTGGGTAAGCAGACTTATGGCTACTCCGAACCAGAGTGGAATGGTGTGATTTTAGCGCTAACCTAGCCATTCCCTAGGTATGTCCCTGCCAGGGAGCATGGCTGGTTTCTGCCATGGACTCAAGCTTACTGAAGTTGAGGAAGCAACAAAAGACACTCTTGAGGTGTAATGTTCTGCACCCTTCCATTGAAGGATTCAGGTTGTAAATATGTGTAAATAAACCGTAATTCATAATACACTATAGCCTCGGTTGTGCCTTAATTTTCTAAAGTAAACACAAACCCTGGTTAAGTGCCAGGATCTCTGGAATCTTGTGTACCGCTTGGCTGAGACTGAGGTAGCCTGCAGCTATATATCTTGGCCCAGGATGTTGGTCTTCATCAGGCTTCGGTTTCATGCAATATTCGGCAAAATGGTTGATGAGTCTCTGTACAGCTTCCTTGGAGTGCGCTGTCAAGGCTGTGTCATCTGCAAACAACATCTTTTGGATAAGGACCTGCCACACTTTCATCTTGGCACAGAGACATGTCAGGTTGAGCAGACCCCCGTTGCTCCTTGACAGAAAGTACACCCCGTCTTCAGTCAAGCTGAAGGCATATGAGAGCACCAGGGAGAAGAATATGCCAAAGAGAGTTGAGGTGAGAACACAGCCCTGTTTCACACTGCTCTTTATAGGCAAGGCATCTGAGGATGAGCCATCATATTGGATGGTGCCACACATGTTCTCATTGAAGAAAACAATCATATTGTGAAGCTTAAGTGAGTGTTCTATCTTGTTGAGCAATGTGAAGTCCTTTTGACGTGAGTAGGTCAAATGTTACATATATAAAATGCTTTCACACATAACATGCTTATAGCCCATATAAAACATTTTGAACAGCACTTGGGCTCCGCTTTGAAAATAAACAAATAATTATTATTCTTTTTTTTTTTTTTTTTTTTTTTTAAATATTTTATTAAGGATTTTCTTGTTTTACAGAAGTGTAGTGCCTCGTATTTTTTTTCCCATGTAACATTTTTACAAATCCGTTTCATTTGTTGAGGCATTAGGGGGAGAAGAAAAAAAAAAAAGAAAAAAGAAAAAGGGGGGGTGGAGAGAGGGAAGATGGATGGGGGTGGGGTCGGGTGGCGGTGTTTCTATTATGTTTAATGTATGTAGAGTTTGGTGTCAGCGTTGCTTGTGTTGTTCACTTGTGTTCCTTTGGTGGTGAGAGAGGTTGGGGTTGGCCTAGGGTGTGATTGTTTGCTTGTGATTGGCTGTGGTGATCTTTGTTTTCGTGTGTGAGTGAGGTGGGTGGGTGTTTTGGATCAGGTTAGCCATATTGAAAATAATTATTATTCTGCCTCAGAAAAGCCATTCTTACCCCTGTTTTATTTTTCTCACACCTCATAGCCTGCCCCGCCCTGTCCTCCTTTCCTGCTCTTATTTCCTTCAGTCAGCCTAACATCTTTCTCATAACACATTGTCTCCACAAAGCCAGAAACTACGCAGGACTCCAGGTTCTATTGATTTAGCCCTAGGAGGGAGGGGGGTGTCTCTGCTGCAAACAGCATCTGCAGCCATCAACTCAGCAAGACATTCCTGTCTCCCACTTTTTCACAGGTAGGTGTCCTGCTGTGAGCAAATCTATATTTGCTGTAGAACTGGTAAGGAAGCAAAGAACAATGGACATGAAGAATGTGTGTATGCAAAGAATAGCACTTCAAATAAATATTCCTGTAAGACTATTCTGGAATATGTGTAAGCACACAGGTACTTAGAATGTTAGTGCAAGGCAAGCTCATTCAGTTAAACTGCCTGTTAGCTTCAAGCCCTTTTTTCTAAAAACCTGTCAAATTATAACTGAGGTTAGCTGGCTAGGGAAGAGGCAACTGGTTCTTTAGTGATACCAATTTTGGGGAAAGGGACAAAATGTTTTCACCTGACTGCAGTGGCTTTACATTCTCTCCAAAAATCAATGTCTCCCTGTGACTTGTATGGCCAAAATTAAAATTGAGCTTCAGATTGTGACAAATACTTTGCCAGTAGTATGCAATATGTCAATACTTGTTTTTATGGAGAAAATCTGTGGCTGATGGGACAATAAATAACTTACTGGGAAATACGTTCCACTGAAATCAGTATCACTGCTGAGTAAACATAATTTGGAATAGTCTGTGAAACAATGGAATACATGGTATGCAGTTAACTGCTTATTAGATTAGTATAAATTAAGGCATCTGACAGATCAGTATGGAACATAGATGTCCCAACCACTTCCTGTTTCTTCTGGCTGCAAGGAGGAATTGTATAAATATCCTTGTGGGCCAAATGTTAGAGGATATGCCCTCTTGTAATGAGATGTACATTTAGATAATTTTCAATTGCTGGTAAGCAAGACCGCAATCCTATGCACATTTACTTGGAAGCAAGTTCAGTTGTATATTGAACTTGGGATTTACTTTTTGCAAAAGCAAAAAATTCTGAAGGCTACAATCCCTCATGCACAATTACTAGGGAGTAGCTCCGCTTGATCTTTATATAAGTTACTTTCAAGTAAGTATGTGTAAGTTTTGGGCTGAAACAGACAAATGACATGCTCAATATGCAGTCCTATGCCACTTACCTGGGAGTAAGCCCCATTGAACTCAGTTCTGAAGTTAGTGTGCCCAAGTGTGCAGCCTTTGGTTTGCTATTTAAACAAAAAATCAATCCATCTTTTTAGCCTCAGCACTCTTGAAATGGATCTCAAAGTAAAAAACAACAACAATCCAGTAATACCACAATGTTGTAGACAATAAACACACAGCACTTAGTTAAAATAATTGTCTCCCATAAGAGGCAGTAGTGACCATCATCTTATTTGGTTTTAAAAGAGATTTAGACAAAGGCTATCAGTGGCTACCAGCCATAATAACTATGCCCTACCTCCACCGTTAGAGTCAGAGTTGTAGAATTGTGAATACCAGTTGCTAGAAACTGCAGAGAGAGATATATTGTGCTCAGATCCTGCTTGTGGCTTCCCACAGACATGTTCAACACCTTGCTTGTTGGCCTGCAGGGACCCTCAGGGTTCTGTTCTGTCCCCATACTATTTAACATTCACATGAAAATGCTAATGACACCCAGCTCCTAAATCCAAGGAAGCTGTCTTGGTTCTAAACTGGTGTCTGACATCAGTAATGGAATGGATGAAGGTCAACAAACTGCAACTTAATCCAGATAAGACAGAAGTGCTATGGTCAGCTGGAAAGCAGAACAAGGAATCCAGCATGTGCTGGATGGGAGTAACACTCCACCTGAAGTCACAGGTTTATAGTTTGGGCATGCTCCTGGACTCAGGCCTGAGCATGGACAAAACATAGTAAACAGATAAAACATAATTCAGCTAGAACTATCAGCATCTGGTATTCACAACAGGATAACTTATACACAGCTATAAGACAGAGATGGGACTGCAGAACATCTTCATTTGCTCTACTGAAAGGCCAGCAACTTTAGGCTTCCCCTTTCCTTGAGCTCTTTACATTCCAGCTGGTCACTACAAGAACTCCCTGCATGCAAGGGAGATGCTCTACAACTGAGCTGTGGTGTTGTATAGAGCGGTCACTTATATGCAATGCCCAAAAAGAGGAAAGAATAACTAAAAGAGGAACATACATTTGCATTAAAATTGCATCTACAGTATTAATTTATAGTAACAGATGCAAATTTAGAAATGATTAATTTAACTATAAATACAGTACATCTCACCACTGTGAAGAAGGCTATGATTAGAGCTGTGTGCCAGGTGATCTGACAGCTCATTCTGCTGTCCAAGTGCTAACTGTTGAACTGTTAATTTCCCTTTTTATGGCTCATTACACTAGGCTTGGACCGAACGCCACCTCAAAAAAACAAGACACCTTCAAATAGAGGACTGCCCTCCATTTGAAGGACACATGGCCACTATAATTCTGTAACAAAAAAGTGCCTAAACTTGCTTCCCTGCTCCCAGTGTCTCCTCCCTTTTCCTTTTGCTGTCAGACTGCAAGCCTGAGAGCAGGGACTCTTATTACTAATATTATTACTAATATTATGAACAGGTAGTATTTGATGATGATATTTTAACTGCTTTATTTTCCCATTTTCCATGGATTATTTTTTTTATGTGCACCACTTAGAAATGCAAATAAATAATTAAGCCCCATATAAATGTATTGAATATTTTTAAAATGCAAACTGCTTTGGGGTCACTTGGTGATGAAAAGTGATATATAATTAATATGTTGTTCTGGCAGCCTTTTTTCAGCTGAAGAACAGGGTAAAAAAAAAACGTTAAACAGACAGAAAGAAAACAAAGCTTAGGCTGCATACACACTAGGGACAAGGATCTATGCCATGCTTCCTCAACCTAGGCCTGCCAGATGTTTTGAGACTACAATTCCCATCATCCCTGACCTGCTAGCTAGGGATCATGGGAGTTGTAGGCCAAAGGTTGAGGAAGACTGATCTATGCTCTCATTGTTTATAAAGTGCCATGTACATGGACTATTGTTGCTGCAACTGTTAGGATCCTGAGGAACTGCCTTATACCGCATCAGACCATTGGGGCCATCTAGCTCAGTACTGTATTGTCTACGTTGAAAGGCAGCAGCTCTCCAGGGTCTGCAGGCAGGGATCTCTCCCAGCAGCCCTGCTTGGTCTGAACAGCAAGGACCTTTGCATACCGATGTTGCGGTTACCTATTTCATTATTATTTCACAAAAAGGACTTGCCGATCAGAAGGTCGGTGGTTTGAATCCCCGCGACGGGGTAAGCTCCTGTTGCTCGGTCCCTGCTCCTGCCCACCTAGCAGTTCGAAAGCACATCAGAGTGCAAGTAGATAAATAGGTACCGCTCCAGTGGGAAGGTAAACGGTGTTTCTGTGCGCTGCTTTGGTTCACCAGAAGCGGCTTAGTCATGCTGGCCACATGACCCGGAAGCTGTACGCCGGCTCCCTCGGCCAATAAAGCGAGATGAGTGCAGCAATCCCAGAGTCGGTCACGACTGGACCTAATGGTCAGGGGTCCCTTTACCTTTGTATACCGACTGATTGTAGGGGGGGGGGACTACCTGCAAGTGGTTTACCGAAAAATTATCACTACAACCATAATTTAAAACATGCAGAAAGCAATAGGTAAAGGTAAAGGGACCCCTGACCGTTAGGTCCAGTCGCGGACGACTCTGGGGCTCATCTCGCTTTATTGGCTGAGGGAGCAGAGGATGGGATAAAACAAATTAAAACCCATACAAATTTTCTAAACATCTGTGCAAGCTTGTCTAAATAACGATGGCTTCAGAAAAGAACAGATTGGAAAACCCTGGCAGGGAGTTTCAAAATGTCGGGGCCCCCACGCTAAACGATCGAGTTCTTACAAACGCGGCCGCACTAAGCAGATACTGATCCCACTCGCCCAGACCTTCCATCCGTTAAGGCCGGCCGGCCGGCCGCCCGTCGCTCCAACCACATTTGCCTGTCAAACGAGAACGACGCAAACTGGCCTTGTCGGCCGCCGTAGGTGCTGGCTTTAGCTTGGTTTTCTTCTGTTGCCCGGCAACCAAGCCTGGGGTTCCTTGGGCTAATCAGTCAGCGCGTAGAGGGGACTCCTCGCGGGTCGGAGTGACGTCTGCGTGGAGGAGGAGGAGGAGGGACTCTGGGACCTCATAACGGGGTGAGATCATCCAGCTTGCTCATTTTGGCCCTCGGGGCAGGGTGACCAGAGGAGGGGCGGGTTGCTACCTCGTTCTCACAATAGACGGGTCCAGGCAGCTTGGAGGAGCAACGATGGGCGAGACGACCACTAGGGGAAGAGGGGACAAAGGAGAGAGAGAATAAATCTTGCGCATCGTAACCGAGAAGTAGCCCCGCTCTGCCCCCAATATAGCGGGATTTATTCCCAAGTGAGCATGCATAGGATTGGGTCTGGATCCACAATGGGCAGCTTGTTATGCACAGAGGCGAGTAAGATTGCATGTTAACTGCAGGTGACCCTTTTTGCAGCTCTGTAACTCGGCGAGGGGAGCCGGGTGATCTCTGGCTGTTAAGCAGCTGCTCACAAAACCATTAAAAG